TCCAGAAAGCAGACTAATCCAGGAGGTTCTGGAACATGTCTTGCCCTTTACTGAGGTGCCTGTTAAAACTTGGACTTCCCTCATAGCTCAGTCGCTAAAGAATCTACCTGCAATGCAGGAGACCCAGGTTCAATTTGTGGGTTGGGAAATCCCCTGAAAAAGGAAATGGCAACCCACTCCAGTATTCTTTCCTGGAGAATCCCATGGACAGAGTAGCCTGGCGGGCTATGGTCCAAGGGGTCTCGACAGCAGAACACGACTTAGTGACTAAACCACCACCACCTGTTAAAACTTGACATCTTTACAGGATAGTGTAAATTCTCAAAGGACTGACCCCCTGGAGAAAAAGGCATCTAACAAACTTGCTGTTGGTTTGAACAAAGACTCCTGGAGGAAAGGCACTCCCTGATTGAAAGACAAGAGCAGCTGTGTGGTTTAGCAGCATTTCCTTTTCCAGAAAACATCCACATTTTGAGTGAGAATAAACTCTTGTATCTGTAAACACCTCGATGACTTTTTGCAGATTTCTCAGTAAGCTCATGTATTCTTGCCTGCATCCTGGAGGGACTTTCAAATGCTTAGTTTGTTGCCCAGAAAACACTAACCCTTCGGTTATTATTTGTCAACTTCAGCTGAACTTCAGAAGAAAATATCAATGACTGCATTTCTGAATTCTGAACTTGCAGAGGGTGGGAATGAGAGTGTTGGATTTATTCCCCTGTCCCATCCCCAGGGCACTTAATAGAGGGCATGCATTTGTCATTCAGCAAGTGTTTGTTTAGACATTGACCTTTAACAAAACATACACCCACCCATTTGAAATATCTAGTGAAGACTGTTAGTTAGTTCTTTTCACATTTGAATGAGCTTTGCTCATGTGTGCCTCAGTTTGATTCAAGTTTCTCAATCTGTTTGCTTTTCTTTTTTTTTTTTTTGAAACATTCCTGGTGTTATGTCAATAAAACACTATAAAACTGCAGTCTTAAGACAATCAACAGAACATCTGAGTCATAACTAAAACCCAACCCAGGAATTTGAAATGCAAATAAACCATTTTTTTCTTGAATTTTCTAAACCAGAAGTACATAGTAAATACAATCCAGTAATACAAATGGTTAAAGAGCCTGGAACTTTAACTTAAGCTTTATTTTCTTTTACAGTGCTGAGTTCATAAAACACTTTCTGCATGATGCTGTTTACTTTCAATAATTTGAAAGCTATCTCTAACCCTTGTGAGTCAGAAGAACTGACTGAATCAGAAATGCAATAACTTTGATCACATAACAGCACGATGATCATAAGGTAAGTGATGTCTCTAAACTGTTTTCTCTACATCCATTGGTGGAGGTTGGTGGTTTAGTCGCTAAGTTGTATCCAACTCTTGAGACCCCATGGACTGTAGCCCTCCAGGCTCCTCTGTCAAGAATACTGGAGTTGGTTGCCATTTCCTTCTCTGGGGTACCCTCCCAACCCAGAGATCAAACCTGCATCTCCTGCATTCAGGTGGATTCTTTACCACTGAGCCATCAGGGAAGCCCCTTCATCCGCTGCTTTTGTTGAGATGCTTGTATTGTTACTTTGAGACGTTTCCCTGTACCATGATTTTGAAGTCGTACGACAAGGATTTGTGGGGTCCACACTGGGGCCTGGAAACACTTCTACTCTTCCTTACCTGTGAATGAAATGCTGACACGTACAACTCAGTGATCACTGGGGAAAAATCATTGCTTCTGATTCAAGCTCCTTCATGTTTGGAGGCTGATTCCTATTGTTCTCTGTCAGCCAGTGCCTACACTGGAAACCTGACTTTTGACCCTCTGAAAAAAAAGAGCAGCTTGTGTTTTTGTTTTGGGGTTTGTTTTTCTCTCCTGCCACATCGCCTTTATTTAGTCTGCCCATTTCTGGACACGCATGCCCGAGTTCTGGCCTCTTCCAGTCCACATTCCTACAATCTCCTCTCTCCACTCAGAAGCTGACTACATGGAAGTTGGTTCAAGTGCCGTGGTTTGGTTCATCTGCAGAATTCGACAGCTAGGGGCTGGTGGGCTCATCTAACATTGAAATCTTTAAATTCAGGGACTTCCCTGGTGGTGCAGTGGTTAAAACTCTGCGTTCCCAATTCAAGGGGCTTGCAATTCAATCCCTGGTCAGAGAACTAGACCCCACATGCTGTAACTAAAACCCAATGCAGCCAAATAAATAAATATCAAAATAATAATAGTACAAATAAAAGATAAAATAAAAATTCATTATCCATGTCAAAAAAAAAAAAAAGAAAAGATCTGGCACCCCTGGGCCAAGCTCTGTCCAAAGCAGAGTAGCAGCTGCTCTTTAGACCAGATGTCCACTGCTCAGTCTAACCCAGGCCCCACCGCTCCCCCAGCACAGTTGGCCCCCAACTCATTTTGCTTCCCTCTCTGGTTTCTGAAGGCCTTTGAGTCCGAGGCCTCTTATCTGCAACCAGGGTCACTCGGTGGATCAGGTGAGGACAGTAACACCCGCCCACATTCCAGGTCACTAATCCAAACCTGCACGGTCTGACACGCCAGCCAATGGCCTCACTGAGCACTTAAAACTTGGCTGAGGTGGCACAGACAGATTTTAGTTTAATTTTTCATAATTATTTAAAATAATAGCATATCGGTCAGTGCAGATCTAGACCAAGAGAGATCATAAGATTGAAAGATTTTGTTACTCACACGAGTGTTGGTCTATTATTAAGCTACTTAACTTCTCCGAGCCTCAATTTTCTCATCTGTGGAAAGGGATGATATCAGTAACAGCACTGTGGAAGTGAAATGAATGTCTCCTATAAGAGCACGTACGGTAAACAATGTATAAGAGACTTTTCTTGCTTTTCACCTTTTGGGAGACTAGGCAAGCAGTCGGGCAAGCCGCTGATCAAACTAGTTGCTTCTGTGCTGCAACCAGCCATATTCCCTCAGGCATTTCCTTTCCACAGATGACAAAATTGAGGCTCTGAGAAGTTAAGTAGCTCATAAATGCCCCCGTGGCAGATCTAAGACTGAAATCCAGGTCTCCTGACACCAAATTCTATGTTGATGTCACAGCGAGGACATTATAAGAAGAGAACACTATACAAGCAGATAAAGCTATTCTCTTGTGAAACATGGAGCCATTTCTTTTTTATTCCTTTTTTAAAACATTTATTTATTTGGCTGCCCCAGGTGGTAGTTGCAGCATGCGGGATCTTTAGTTGCAACATGTGGGATCTAGTTCCCTGACTAGGGATCAAACCTGGGGCCTCCTGCATTGGGAGCGCGGAGTCTTAGCCACTGAACCACCAGTGAAAATCCTGGAGCCATTGCTGAAAGCAAACACCAGCACAGCTCTTTGGATGAGTTCTGTAAGGTGTTCACCGTGCTAGCGTGTGAAGCAGGCTTCGTCCACATGATGCACTGAGGCCAATGTTGGGCTTCTGTCCTCACCAAGGGGCCCAGGTACCAAGTCCTCAGGCCCTGGAAATAAGTCTCCTGGTTTCAGACTTTGGGGAGGCCTGCAACTCTAAAGCAAAGCATGTGAGTCTCCCTGAGTTTCATTTTTCATATATTCAGAGTTTTATTTTCCTCCTTCCCTTACAACATTCCAACCCCTGGGCTCAGAATTCACACTGAATGAGCTCCCAGATGCAGAGAAACATCCTTTAATTCTTGGTTCTCACAGCCCACACCCCCACTCCCTGAAGAAACCTCACCCTGCACACATGCCCGGAAACGCGCCATGGACTCTAAGTCACTGAGGATTTCCATGAAATTTACCAACTCTGAGACTTGTGAGACATTGGAAACTGAAGCCCTGTTGCCAGAAGCATGTGTTCAATTCTGTCCAGTGGAAATAGAATGACAGAATTTTAAGTTGAGAAGAAGCCTTCCGAGTCCACTCCCACCCAAGGCAATGGAGGGATGGGTGTGCACACGTGCTCAGTCGTGTCCCACTCTTTGTGATCCCATTGACTGTGGCCTGCCAGGCTCCTCTGTCCATGGGATTCTCCAGGCAAGAATACTGGAGTGGGTTGCCATTTCCTTCTTCTGGGGAATCTTCTCAGCCCAGGGATAGAACCGGCACCTCCTGCAACTCTTGCATTGGCAGGTGGATTCATTACCACTGAGCCACCTTGACTCACCCAAGGCAGAGTCAAATTTAAACCCCCACTGACAGCCCCAACATGCTGCCCTTTTTGGATCTTTCACTCCCCAGACAGACACATGTAGGGAGAAAATTCATGTTTTCTTTATTCTCTTCTTCAGCTTTTCAATTTGTTATTCCTTTTCTGTTTGGAATCAACAACTAAGCAGTGATAGGATTCGCAGATTTCATCTTGTCCTTGACAAAGCAAGAGCAGGTGTAAAGGACAAAGCAAGTGGGATGTGACTGAGAAGGGTGGGCAGCAGGAAGACTGGTGAGGACCTGGCCGAGGACCTGCTGTTGGCCCCACGCCTCCCACTGCATCTCCTCGAACCCAAGTACTTGGAGCTCCTGAGGCATGAGGGGACCTGTGGTCTGGGACGACCTCACTGCCCTTACCTTTGAATGGATGGCTCACCCTGGGCCTTGGCCAGAAACTGCGAGAGGGGGTGGGAGCAAGGTGGAATTTGGAAGAAATGGTATAACATGAATGAACCTTGAAAACTTTGTTAAGTAAAAAAAGCCAAACCCGAAAGTTTATACTTTGTGTAATTTCATTTATATAATATGTACAAGATATGCAAACCCAAAGAGACAACCAACAAACATGGAAGTTGCCAATGGCTGTGGGGAAAGAAGAGGAGTGACTCCTCTTGGGTACAAGATTATCCCTCCATCCAGCACGTCACACCAACTAGAATACTTTTTCTCTCCATTTACCCTATGACTGGCTTCTTCATGAGGTCTCACCAGGTTTCCATCCCATTATTCAGTTGAATTTTTGTACCTCTTCTCATTTTCCAAAATTCTCCAGTGTATTTGTTCATTAGCTTGCTGTCTATCTCACCCACTAGAACTTCTCTGTCTGATACAGTGGCCACATGTGACCAGGAGCTGTTGCCTGTTGTGCAGAAAGCATTGTCTGCACTTCAGGAAGCTCTCTTAGGTAGCGCTGCACTAGACTGTAAGCACCATCAGAGCAGAGTCCTAATTTTCTTGGTCACTGCAAGATCTCTAGCATCTAGAAAAGTACCTGACATACGGTAGACTCACTAAGGAATAAGCAATGACAATGAACTGAATGAATGAATGAACTGGAAGGTTTGTCAGATGGGCAGCAGTGGAAAGGAGATAAGGGAATGCTGAAAACAGTCTGAACAGGACAGAAAATAGGAGTAAGAAAACAAGACATTTGTTCAGATTGTTCTCATCATTCTCTACTCCAATATTTCATGTGGAGACTATCAACTATGATAGTCTCCATAAAGAACATTTTTATCTTAATTTCTTTTCTACATTTTTCTGTTGCAGAATGTGTTCAGTATTATAATTTGACACAAAATAGCATACCATCGTGAAATACATAGAATGCAGTGAACTTTATGGATTTACTATTAACTTCATTTTCATATCCAACCTATTAATTCAGTGGAGAGTACTACTGACAAGGTAAAAATTTAGTTTGATAAAGAAACTTTGATGGGATTTTCCTGATGGTCCAGTAGTTAAAACTCTACATTCTCAATGTAGGGGTTCTGGGTTTGATCCCTGGTCAGAGAACTTGATCCCACATGCTACAGCTAAGACCCAGTGCCGCCAAATAAATTAAAAAACAACAATAAATTTTAAAAAGAGCCTTTGACTCTTGAAGAATTTTTAAATAATCCTTTGTTTCATCACACTTACAACATAAGAATTGCATTTATTTTATAGCTTTTTTTCTTTTACTAATATTGAATGCAAACTCCGAGAGATGGCGAAGGACAGGGAAGCCCAGCATGCTACAACCCCTGGGGTCTCAAAGAGTCAGACACGACTTAGTGACTGAACAACAACAATAACAGGACTATAAGATAAAAATAAAATATTAAATAAGTAGGTGACATTCCATTGTTTTCCCAATTTGCTGTTGTTTTTTGTTTTCATTTGGTTTGGTTTGTGTTTTGTTGAGGTTTTTTTTTTGCAAATTTTTACCCAAGATCTGATTGTAACTTTGCTACCACCTTCTGGCAAAATAATGACTATCTTATGATCTTTAATTAGAATGAATTTCCATAATTTTGTTTATTTGGTGTTTTATGTTTATTTCATCCACATCTATCATAGCTAAAACCAAAAACTTAAAAGGGAGGCTTCCCTGGTGGCTCAATGGTAACTAAGAAATACCACCTTAACCAAGCTGTCGAATTTGGCACCACTTAATGGGACAAATAAACATCAAGTACCTCCTGATAAAATGTACCAAGATAGTTACTTCCCTACCTCAGTATCCTTGCCAAAAATGCAGAACTTAAATGTATCAAACACACATCAGAAAACTTATATTGAGAGACATTCTACAAAATAACCAGGCAGTATGTTTCAAAATGTCAAGGTCGAGAATGATGGAGTAGGTGTTTCAAATTAGAGGAGACCCAGAAGGCAAAATGAAAAAATGTGTGATCCTGGACTGAATCCTGGACCAAAAATAAGAACATTGATGGGATGATAACATAATTTGATTAATGTCTGTAAGATTACATAACTGTACTATATCAGTGTTAGTTTCCTGATGTTTATAGCTATATGGTCATTATATTAGATACTGACGTTTTAAGGGCTTCCCTGGGTCTAGTGGTTGAGAATCAGCCTGCCAATGCAGGAGACACGGGTTGGATCCCTGGTCCTAGAAGATCCCACATGCCACAGAGCAACTAAGACGTGCGCCATAACTACCGAGCCAGCACTCAAGAGCCCGGGAGCTGCAACCCACTGGGTTCACGAGCCGCAACTACTGAAGCCCAAGTGCCTAGAGCCCATGCTCCCAACAGTGAGAAGCCCCTGCAATGGTAGCCAGGGCACTGCAAGAAAGAGGAGCCCCATTTGCCACAACTGGAGAAAGCCTGTAGCAATGAAGACCCATAAATCTTTAAAAACCAAATTAAGAATCTGAGTGGAGTGCTTATAGAAATCTTTAGTGTTGCTACTGTATCTTTTTAAAGTGTGAAATTATTTCAAAAAGAATTTAAAGGTCTTTAAACTACAGACTGAGCTCTGTAGGGCCCTCACCAAGCCTCTGAAGTACTGTCACTTATGGAATTCCTGGTCACTTTCTCCTTATGTATCAAAGATGACTTCACCCACTCAATACCCTAGTCTTTCTTTTCCCCGACCTATTCATCTAAAGCAAATTTTCTGCCTCTTCTCAGCCACCTCTGAAATCTTGAATTCAAGTACCCAAATTATAGCTTGTTTACCTAAAGTCCCAGTCCAAAAATTCTTTGAGTTCACTGAGACATCCAATCCACTAATAATACCGTTCTTCCAGTATCCATCACCTACCCCCTTCCCCACATCGTTTACTACCCTCCTCCTTTACCCAACTTCCAGGTCCAACACTTAGATATTCTCTTGCAAACAACTCCCTTGGCCATCTCACCCTCTGTTCCACTCACCTGCAAGACTCAATATTCCTTAAACTACAGAAAAAGATAACTATTGTAGGGGGAAAAATCTTACGAACATGCTGACTGGCCCATTGAAAACCATAAATACAGGGGCGGTGCCCCCAGGGAGCGACCTGAGGGCCAGACTGCGGGCGGGAAAGGGCAGCGCCCCCGCCCAGGGTTCATGAGGCTGCCCACGGAAGGCTAATACCCCCACGAGAGCTGTTCGGAAGGGGGCGCGGACGGCTTTGGATGGCGGAAGATTGGGAGCGAAGGAAAGAGGGTTTTCCTTGCCAGTGAATCGTGTAGAGTACACTTGTCAGTCTCTTGTCTTCCTTTCACCATGGCTGCTTCTGATATCCAGGTGAAGGAACTGGAGAAGCGTGCCTCAGGTCAGGCTTTTGAGCTGATTCTCAGCCCTCAATCAAAAGAATCTGTCCCAGAACTTCCCCTTTCCCCCCCTAAGAAGAAGGATCTTTCCCTGGAGGAAATTCAGAAGAAATTAGAAGCTGCAGAAGAAAGACGAAGTCCCATGAAGCTGAGGTCTTGAAGCAGCTTGCTGAGAAATGGGATCACGAGAAAGAAGTGCTTCAGAAAGCGATAGAGGAGAACAACAGCTTCAGTAAAATGGCGGAAGAGAAGCTGACCCACAAGATGGAAGCCAACAAAGAGAACCGGGAGGCACAAATGGCTGCCAAACTGGAGCGTTTGCGAGAGAAGGACAAGCACATTGAAGAAGTGCGGGAGAACAAAGGCTCCAAAGATCCTGCTGATGAGACTGAAGCCGACTAATTTGATCTGAGAACTGACTTTCTCCCCCTCCCCTTCCTAAATATCCAAAGACTGTACTGGCCAGTGTCATTTTACTTTTGCCCTCCTGACAAATATTCTAGAAGCTGATGTAGGACTGTATGGGTAGATCCAGACGGTACGATGTTGTTCTAGGGGCTAGAGGGGAGAAACGAAAAGTGTTTTACTCTTTTTCTAAAGTGTTGAAGTCTTTCTAATGTAGCTATTTTTCTTGTTGCATCTTTTCTACTTCAGTACGCCTGGTGTGCTGGGTTAATGGCTAGTACTGTATTGGCTCCATGAAAACATGTCTGTGAAAAGAGTATGTAGTGGCTTCTTTCAAATTGTTAGATGCTGAATATCTGTTCGCTTTTAAATCCCAATTCTGTCCCGATCTTACAGACGCTACTGTACTTGAATGGTTAATAAAGCTGCACAGTGCTGTTGGTGGCAGTGGAAAAAAATAAATAAATAAATACAAATGGACATTAATTCTCAAGTGGAAACTAATACTACCAGACACCCTTTTTTCAAAGTCTCAGTCCCAGTGTTGGAATCAAGATCTTTGGTCATATTTCATTGCTGGCATTCCAATAATCATTGGGAAAGGAAGACCGTGAAAGTGTGACACAGAATGTCCCTGTGACTTATTTCTTTTCATCCGTATTGTATTATGATGCAAACAGAAAAAAAAAAATTCATTTGGACTTTGTAAAATGAATTCCAATCCTTTCACATCTTTTAAAAAAAAATTATTATTATTCACAGGCATCACCCAGATCACCCAGCCTTCTTAGTGATTCTTTCTGACATTGCTCCAAGATCAAGTCCCAAATTCAGAAAGAACACTTGGAAATGGTATGTGTCTGTCATATTAGAGATACTATTTGGTCTCTACCCTGTTTCCTGGTACCTGGAATCTCTGAAGTGGTACATGTCTTGCTGTTGCTAATGAGATGACTGGGAGCTCCTGGACAGCCTCAGGGTGGGGGCTGGTTGCCAAGGGAACCAAACCTGTGATTAGAGAGTTGGAACTTTCAGTTCCACACCTTAATCTCTGGGGAAGGAAGAGGAGCTGGAGATCAAGTTAATCACTATAGACCAGTGATTTAATCAGTTGTGCCTACAGTAATGAGGTCTTCATAAAAATAAAAATAAAAATAAACCCTAAGCGAAGGGGTGTGGTGAGCTTCTGGGTTGTTGAATATGTGGAGGTGCCAGAAGGCCCTGTTCTCCACTTGGGCATCTCCTCCATCTGGCTTTTCCTGAGTTGTGTCCTTGTACAATGCACTGTAATCTAGTGAGTCAACTGTTATTCTGATTTCTGTGAGCTGTTCTAGCAAATTATTGGGCCTGTAGTTTATAGCTGGTCCATCAGAATCACAGGTGACAGTCTGGACGTGTCAGCATCTGAAGTGGAGGAGGGAAGTCTTGAGGGCTTGAGCTCTTAAACCTGTAAGATCTGACTCTAATTCCAGGCAGTGTCAAAACTGATTTAAAGGACCCATAATTGGGTCCTTTTATTTATTCTCCCTAAATAACTGGAGAATTGCTTGTTGTAAGCGGGGGATAAAAATTCATATTAGGAGACCAGACGAGTTTTTCCACACAGCGTCCCTAACACCAGTGCCAATCAAAACATGGTACTGGTCCAAAATGAATTAAGTACAGAAACTGAGAGTAGGCTCCCAGAAGCACTTTACAGGAACTTGACATTGGTGCAACATCCAAGCTTGGGGTCAGCAGCAAAGGGCAGAGACCACTCAGGTTTTGTCTCCCTCTCAAAGGAGAGCTGCAGGCCTGAGCCGAGTAGGAGTCACAAACAGCAGGACCATGTACTATTTTAACCGAGAGCATATGCAAAAATCTAAAAAACATAAGCACTTCCTTTTATAACTTGTAGTTTTTACAATGATGTTGATTTTTAATCAGGTTATTTTTTTGAGTTTATAGTTTTATACTGCCACCTAAACTGGGAAAGTAATTTATATTGTTTATTAGCTTGCTTATTTATTTTTACCATTTAAAAAGATCTAATAATGTTTACAATCATAATAGTAGATAAATTTTGGCAGTTTGGTTACTTACCAATCAGTCATTTATTTTTTTAGTTTGAAATACTTTGCAACTTTCAGAAGAGTTGCAAGAATAGTACAAAGAATCCCCATAAAACCTTTAACCAGTTTTTAATATTTCACCAATTTGCTTCATAATTTTGTGTGTACTTATTAATATAACATCAGATGTTCTAGTATACTTATTGATGGAACAAAAAACATAAATGACATAAAAGCTAACACTTTGACATCAAGAATACAACCTTTATGATAATACAGAAGCTGATCATAAACAACTATTATCATTTGCTGAAGTACAGTGGTTACCGAAATGGGAAGTTTTGTTGAGAACGTTTGAACTCAGGAACAAACTCTTAATTTTAAAAGTTGGCTTCTTAAGTGGGAAAAGAATTTGAAAAGGAATAGATACATGTATATGTATAACTGAATCACTTTGCTGACACCTGAAACAAACACAACACTGTTAATCAACTATGCTCCAATATAAAATAAGAAGTTTAAAAACATAAAAATAAAAGTTTGTTTTTCTTTTTTAAAGATACAATTTAAACAGCTGTGTTTACTTATTTGCCTGATAGCTTCAGTACTTTAAATGATTTTAATGCTTTCGTGCAACTTTTTCAATGGCAAATAAGATCGAATGGTTATAACTTGGAAAAACAAAATTTATAAAGACTGTATTAACATTTACCATAACTTAATAACATTCATCAATGAATACTTTAGATAATGGATGGAATGTTTTTCATTATATTTTCATCAAAAGATGAAAATGTATCTTGATTTCATTTCTTTCATCAATATATAACTTACTTTTAACTATAATAATACAGAATGAATTGTTAGAATTGACTACTTACAAAGAATTGAAGCTCAATTATGGAAATATAGCTTCCCTTGCTTCACTATACATTAAAGTAAAATGTAGTATCTTGAACCTGCCCCTGTGAACTGACTTCTCTACTATATATGTTATGAAAACAGAACATAGGAACAGTTGATACATACATTATCCCCTGTCACTAATACTGTCATCAATTCAATTTAGATTAGATAAATTTTAACAAGTGAGAAACAAGTTCACTTAACACATTAAAAGCCTATTATTTCTATATAGCAAGCATTGATACACATTTATATCAAATACTTGGTACAAAACTTAAATATTGATACATATAGTGTTTGTTCAAAACTTCATTCAGGCATTTAACATGAGGAACTAGCAATTTCACTCTATTTAGTTTTGTTTACACTTGCAATGAATTATATGTACAGTTATTGTCTTTTCCCTATGTTCTGTTTGTTCTGATTTTATTTATAAAATGCTATGTGTTGACTCATTTAAAAATCACAAATTGTGTTTTGAGTGTACTTTTATAACTTTTCTAATAATTTTTTGTTGTATTTTACAAAAGTATTGGCCACAACCAATTGGAAATGACAAATGTTGCACTACAGGTAATTTGTTCAGCATGGCTATCCCTTGGACATTCCCTAGATGACCACTAGATGGTGACCAAGGATCTTCTCCCTGACGGCTTGTGTGATCTTTGGAATGGCTCCTTCAATTGAGAAAGAAGGCATTTCATGTGCTAAAGCTTCTCCATGTAGTCTGGCAGAATTGTCAGACCTTTCCTATTTCTGAAGCCCATAGAGAAGGCAATTCAGTCTCCCTTATATGGGATGTGCTGCGTGCTAAGTCGCTTCAGTCGTGTTCAACGCTGTGCGACCCCATGGACTGTAGCCCGCCAGGCTCCTCTATCCATGGGATTCTCTAGGTAAGAATACTGGAGTGGGTTGCCATGACCTCCTCCAGTCTTCCCAATCCAGGGATCGAACCTGCGTTGGCAGGCAGGTTCTTTACTACTAGGGCCACCATATGTAACTGTTGAGATTGACTGATACAAATGAAGATATGGATGTTCATATTGATATGTTTTGCCAATTGTTGATAGGCTTCCCACATGCACAGGAGCTTATCCATACACCAAAGTTGTTGAAACAATTGCCATCACATCTCCCCATGACACTTAACTGCCACTCGCTCAGGAACCACTCACAGAATGTTCCTGTATTTAAAAATAAGCTGTAGGAGTTCCCTGGTGGCCTGGTGGTCAGGATTCTGGACTGTCACTGACTGCCATGGCCCGGGTTCAATCCCTGGTTGGGGAATGGGGATCCTGCAAGCCATGTGGCACAGCCAAAATAAATAAATAAATAAATAATAAAAATAAACTTGATGCTATTATAAAAGCACAAATGAAATATGCTAAAGCTTCCCATTCACAGGTGTGAGAACCCAACCCGGATAAGCCTCCATAACCAGAGCAATTCATTCCTTCAGCCACTGGAAGGGTGATAAAGATCTGCTTATCACCAACATTTTTATAAACCACCAAGGCCTTTAGCTTTCAGAACATTCCTCCCCTGTAAAAAGACCTGTACCAATGCGGCAGAGGGGGCTTCCTTGGTGGCTCAGCAGTAAAGAATCTGCCTACAATGCAGGTGAGCTGAATTGTATCCCTGGGTCAGGAAATCCCCTGAAGAAAGAAATGGCAACTCACTGCAGTATTCTTGCCTGGGAAATTTTATGGACAGAGGAGCCTGGTGAGCTACAATCCATGGGATCACAAAGAGTTGGACAAGACTCAGCAACTAAACAACAATCATGGGGCAGACAAGAAGAATGAAAACCTGTCTGTGACCAAAAGTTTATATCATCCCCTGTAATAAATTATTCAGGCTTCCAGGTCAGCTACTTGTGGCTGGAATCCTGATGTCCAGCTTGGTTTTCCTGCCTTGGGGACTTACGCTGTCCACTCTTCAAGGTGGCCAACGTCTCCTATCACCTTTCAAGTGAACAGAAACTTCCTCGTCGCCTTATCTAACCCTGACCATGTCTGTTTAAGCCATCTGGCAACCAGCTTTGGGAGCTGAACATGCTGGAAACCTCTTCTCTGTCAAGGGCAGTGTGTGGCAGACTGGCAGCCCCTGGTAATTACCCCTGCACAGCAGAAGGCGGTCACCCACTGTTGGCAGTAGTCTCACGGTCCCCTGACAGCCGAGTCTCTCTGGTATTGAGATGGGACAAAGAGAATATGTAGCTGTGGACTAGAGAGGAGTTTGCCTGATTAAATTCAGGGGACCAAACTTTGAAAAACACTTCCTTCTAGGATTGATGATTTCTAGTTGATAATTTTAGGAAATGTTTACTTTTTTAAAGCTTTTTAAAATTAATTACCATTTATTTATTTGGCCGTGTTGGGTCTTCACTGCTGGGCAGGCTTTCCTCTAGTTGTAGTGCGCGGGCTTCTCTTACTGGGGAGCACAGGCTCTAGCGCGTTCAGGCTTCAGTAGTTGTGGAGCATGGGCCCAGTTGTCCCGCGGCATGTGGGATCCTCCAAGACCAAGGATCGAACCTGTGCCTCCTGAATTGGCAGATGGATTCCTATCCACTGTGCCACCAGGGACACCCAGGAAATGTTTACTTATGGCCATTGATATGACTGTTTTTAGAAGCCACATAGTGTAAGTGGAATAAACACTCTAAGTGAATCAAGTCTTTTGCAAGGTCAAAGACCAAGGTTTAAAGACATACTTCCTTTGATTCTAATCTAGAGGTCTGGGCATCAGAGACTCTTCATCCCCAGAGCAGTTCTCTCTGTTAATTGTATTCACCAATTACCAGTTTCCCATTTTGAAAAGATATACTCATATTAAGCTAATTCAAGCGGTATATTTATTAAAATTAGATTATTCAAAAAAGTGTGGGTAAAGGTCAGGAAAACCAGAGGGTAACCATGCTTTAATCCTGGGCTACTAATAATGGAGGAGCTGTCACATCCCACCATCAAAATGTGAAGGACAAGAACAGTTACGGGAAACCCAACAGAAGAAACTCACAGGCAAGCAGCAGTGATGAGAAACACTGCCAGCCTGATGTGATCCCAACTCTCCCCCCTTTCATCAGGGACCAAATCCAACCAGAAACAAGAGAGCACAGCCTACTGATGTAATCTATCTATATCAGCCTCCCAGGATAGAGAACAAGCTGCAATGGGTCTGGAGAAATAGAACATATTTCTATGTACATATATGTATATAGCTATATGTGTGTGTGTCTGGGTCTGAGTCTCTGTGTGTATGTACATATGCACTCCAGAAGACAGGTAGGTGGGTAGGCAGAAAGATAGAGATAGATACATAGACAGGGATGAGATAGAGACAAAGCTAGAGCTATCACCCAAGACTTTTTGCCTTCAGCATCCTTTCTGGTCCTTCATCTAATGGAAAGATCGAGCCCCTGTCACAGAGTGGGCATGAAGTTCTATCAACTATCATGTCAGTACTAGTTGCTATCCATTTTCTTATACTCCTATCTAGAGAAAGGGGAGGGAGACAAGAAACGATTTACACAGAACACTGCTATGATACTCCTGACACCCGAAGGCCTCTGTTGGTCGTTGTAGCTACCTTTTCCCACGGCCCATTCTATTTGCCCCTTAACCTTTCCCAGCATCTTGGCTGGATCAGGATTACTTACCAGATGGTGAGTCCAAACTCTTCATTGCTACAGTGTTTGAGTCCTTTTCTCTAAATGTCATTGCAGTTTTTCACTCACCAGGACAACTGATCAAGGGAGTATAAAATATCAATAAATGCCCAAGACAATTCATCAAGGGAGTATAATAAATGATCAGTAAATACCCTGGTTTCCAAACATAGTTCTCCACAGCCATCAATCAACTCAATCTTACAAAACCTCCCTTCTCTGCCTCTAATTGGTCAGTGGCATGAGAAGCCCAAGAGGACACACTAGGTCCCCAAAACTTAAGTGCTTTTCAAAGAACTGCATAAAAAGGATGAGGGAAGAAGGTATTCTAATTTAAAATGGAGAGACCTGGCAATCTCCACCTTAACTAACCTAGCGATCAGAGTAAAACAACCTGGCCTGAGGTGCCTTCCAGTGTGAGACATGGAGTGCAGATCCTTGAGACACAGATGTACAGAACAGACTTTTGGACTCTGTGGGAGAAGGTGAGGGTGGGATGTTCTGAGAGAATAGCATTGAAACAAGTATACTGTCAAGGGTGAAACAGATCACCAGCCCAGGTTGGATGCATGAGACAAGTGCTCAGGGCTGGTGAACTGGGAAGACCCAGAGGGATGGGATGGAAAAGGAGGTGGGAGGGGGGATCTGGATGAGGAACACATGTAAATCCATGGCTTATTCATGTCAATGTATGGCAAAAACCACTACACTATTGTAAAGTAATTAGCCTCCAACTAATAAAAATAAATGAAAAAAAAAGTGCAGATCCTCACCCATGTATCAGTAGTGTTCCTCACCCATGTATAAGTAGTATTCCTCACCATTGTATCAAGTGTTCCTCACCCATGTATCAATAATATTCCTCACCCATGTATCAATAGTGTTCCTTACCCATGTATCAATAGTATTCTTCATCCATTTATCAATAGCATTCATCACCCATGTATCAATAGCATTCCTCACCCATATATCAGTAGTGTTCCTCACCCATGTATTAGTAATATTCCTCACCCATTTATCAATAGTGGTGTTCCTCACCCATGTATGAGTAATATTCAGTAGTGTTCCTTAACCATGTATTAATAGCATTCTTGCAAAAGACATTTCACCTGAATTGAGCCATGAAGAAACAGACAAATCCAGAATGTGGGATATCCTACAAGACACTTGGCTTGGACTCTCTTAAAAAAAAATCAGTGTTATTGAAAACATAAATAGAAGGTAATTATTCTAGGTTAAAAAGACTAATAACCAAATGAGAGGCATGAACCTTGATTAGATTCTGCATCAGGGGAAGAAACAACATTTAGGGGAACAATTGGGGATATTTAAACTGGTTTTTAGGTAAAATTACTGAATTTTTCTAAGTTCTGATAATAGTGAAATTCGGTAGAAGAAAAGTCTTTATTCTTGTGAAAGACACTGAAGTTCAACTGCTCTCTTCAGGAAAAGCGTAAGCACAACTGTCTGGACCATAAACTGAACTACTGTTTCTTTCCATGGAGCACCGCTTTTATTGCAAGAACAGCTGAAAAATTATGATTACTCTGACTTGTAGAGTTGGCAGATTTCTCAAAAATGAACAAACTGAACCCAACACTTCAAGGAAAACAACAGATAGCATTTGTTGCCAATGGTGTAATTCAAGCTCTTAAGCAAAAATTACATAGTGCAACTGACCTTTAAGAATCTACCATTTGTCAAGTTTTGTGGTTGTTATCAAAGAGTATCCATAATGATCTGAAAACTCTATTAAAATAAGGCTCCCTTTTGCAACAACACATTTCTGGGTGGCTGAATTTTTTTTTCACATACTTTGACCCAAACAACATATCATGAATAGTTCAGCGAAAAAGAGAGAATGTTCAGCAAAAGAAGTGAATTAAATAGGTGAAGGATATAAGGGTGTTTGTTCCTTTTACTATTTGTTCAACTTTTCTGTAGGTTTGAAAAGTTGCAAAATAAAATGTGTGGAGGGAGAAATTCAAGTCCCAGGTCATGGGGAGGGAACATAAACATTCTTAAGTGGTCACTAGATAGAGAGGACACTCCCACCTATGACGCCCCTGGTCTAACACACTTAGCGGCTACTCCCCCAAACACTCTCTAGGCTCCTCCAGTAGACTGGAGAAATCATCAGATGTCTTCCTCTGTTTCTATAGGCTTTCTCCAGGAGAAGCCCTAGAATTCTAGCAGAAATGTTAGGATCTAATGCTGGTTTTAGAACTGGAGGCAGTAGCAGGTGGTGTGGCCTGCTTCTGCAGGCAACAGAGGTCCAGGGAAATCTGGGGCCCAAATGCCATCTCCTCTCCCAACCAGTGCCCTTCGCGGTTTCCCAGGACTGGGCATTAATCGTGCTACAACTCTGCACTCCTTACAACCATCCTGGGCTTGTTCTGGGACCACTGTGACCACAGATGACGGACCCTTTCAAAGCTGCCATCGAGGCTCTCTGGCTCCTCATGTGTCTTAATGTTTGTGTTCACAGCTTTTATTTTTTCCTTCCCTAGGTGCTGGAGACCTCGGTTGGAGACCTGGCTTCAGCCCCTGGGTTGGGAAGATCCCCTGGAGGAGGACATGGCAACCCACTCCAGTAGTCTTGCCTGGAGGAGCCTGGAGGGCTACCGTCCATGGGGTTGCAGAGAGTTGGACATGACTGAGTGACTAAGCACAGCCCAGGTGCTTTCCCAAGAGTGTCAAAAGTGAGGTGCCTGCAAAATCTTTACAGTTACAGCTAGCCAGATTCATTCAGGTGCCACAGCCCTTATCAGTCGTGTTTTCTGACTGGAAGCTTCCATGCTACCACACTGATAAGTTTAAGTGGTTGTGGCCTCACCATATACCACAGTTGACTCCTGTCCCTTCACCCCCACCCCTGTCCTCTCCACATCTCAGAATACAGTTCTGAGCATCAGTTTCCTGGGGTCATTTCTGGAGCCTATTACTGTAGCAGTCACAGTGCCAACAGGAAGCAGGTGGTACACTCAAATCACAACTTGAGCAGAGTTTGAGACCATTTACAAACATGAGTAGACTACAGGAAAAAGCAGCAGCAGCAACAGACTTTATTTCCTTGGGCTCCAAAATCACTGCGGACAGTGACCATGGCCATGAAGTTAAAAGACGCTTGCTCCCTGGAAGTAAAGCTATAACAAACCTAGACAGCGTATTAAAAAAGCAGAGATGGGACTTTGCCGACAAACCCATACAGTCAAAGCTGTTTTTTTCAGGCCCTCCCAGAGGCTTCCCTAATAGCTCAGTTGGTAAAGAATTCGCCTGCCATGTGGGAGACCTGGGTTCAATCGCTGGGTTGGGACGATCCCTTGGAGAAGGGAAAGGCTACCCACTCCAGTATTCTGGCCTGGAGAATTCCATGGACTATATATGCTCCATGGGGTCACAAAGAGTCACAACTGAGCAACTTTCACTTTCAGGTGACACAGTGGTAAAGAATCCACCTGCCAATACAGGTTCGATCCCTGGGTCAGGAAGACCCCTGGAGAAGGAAATGACAACCCACTCCAGTCTTTTTGCTTGGAAAATCCCTTGGACAGAGAAGCCTGGCGTGCTACAGTTCACAGGGTCAAAAAAAATCAGACTCGACTTAGTGACTAAACCACCAATCCATGATTTTTTCAGTAGTCATGCATGAATGTGAGTGCTGGATCATAAAGAAGACTGAGCACTGAAGAATTGAAGCTTTTGAATTGTAGTGCTGGAGAAGACTCTTGAGTCCCTTGGACTGCAAGATTGAACCAGTCAATCCTGAAGGAAATCAACCCTGAATATTCATTGGATGGGCTGATGCTGAAGCTCTAATACCTTGGTCATCTAATGCAAAGAGTTGACTCACTGGAAAAGACCCTGATGCTGGGAAAGATTAAAGGCAAAAGGATAAGGGGGCAGCAGAGGATGAGATGGTCAGATGGCATCCCCAACTCAATGGAGATGAATTTCAGCAAACCCTGGGAAGTAGTGGAGGGCAGAGGAGCCTGGAGGGCTATAGTCCATGAGGTTGCAATTTCCTGGTGGGGTTCTGCACTGGCCAAAGTCAGCCAGGAGCCAGAAAGCAGGCGAGCCTGATGCCATGCCCGTCCAGGCTAGCCAACCAGGGCCAGAGTGGAGAGAGGATCTGAAGGTGATCAGGAGACAGGGCATGTGTAGTGTAAAGAGCCTTTAGTTTCCAATTTCATGCCCATTAAAAAGGTGGAAGGAAGAAAATCAAGCCTGATTTTACATAATTCTCTCCTCTTTCCCATATCTTTTTTTTAATTGGTTTACAAAGTTGTTAGTTCTAGGTGTGCAGCAAAGTTACACATATATGTATATCCACTTTTTTAGATTATTTCCCCATAAAGGTCTACAGAGTCTTGAGTAGCTTCCCAGTATCTCCATGACAAATTATAAGCTTTTCCTATATGATCACACGGCCTATGGTACCTCAAGTTGTTGGCGAACAGGAAATCCTAGTCACTATACTCAAGAATAATTCAACCTACCTGTTTGAGGAGCTGTGGCTAGGGGTGCGACATCTAACTGGAGCAAACCAACACCAACTTTCTCTACGAGCTTAACCTTGACTAAAGGGTTCAGCAAAGTCATCCACCCTGACGCACCACCAGGTGCTAAGGATGCAAGTATGGACAACAGCCCCTTCTACTGCTGCTGGGAATGCGGGGAAGTGCTTTTTCTGCCTGTGCCGGATCTTCATTACTGTGCCCAGGCTTTTTTCCAGTTGCGGCAAGAGAAGGCTTCGGCGGACTCTTAACCAGACCTACCAGGGAGTCGGAAATGATTTCAAGAAACTGAGGATGTGCTGGGTTAGGCGCTAGTTCTACCTTATGAAGACAGTGAAAATCAGGGTGAGGGTTACTTTGAGAGGGTCCATTGCTAAATCAATGACCCACAAGTCAATTTTGCCATTGTCCAAGGTCTAGACTACAGGAACACAGGTAAACACAACCTCAGGTTTTGGAATCAGCCAGATGTGGATTCCAATCCTGCTTCCTCCACTTACTGTGTTGCTGTGACCAAATCAACTGTTTTCTGGAGACCTCAATTTCCACCTAGAAAATATGAGTAATAAGAGTATCTCCTTACGAAATGATAACTATTAAATAGAAAAATTAGACTCTCAGTATCTGTCACTGTCCATACTCCTCCATCTTGGCACTCAACAAAATGGGACTTATTATGCCACTGATAGTTTACAGTAAGAGACGTTTTAAAGGAGATAAACTTCCAATACTTACAGGAAAGTTGTGAGCACGCTGTAGTTTGTTGCTGCTTGGAGATTCCTACAGCAATTGAAAAGGTTGCAAAAACCCAGACTATAATGTGTTTTTTAATTTCTTTTAAAGTTATCACACCCGTTAACCTTCTGGAGGCAGTTTTCTAGCAGAAGTGGCTTGCTGACAGCACTACTTTGAACACTTCTTTTATAGCAAGTAACAGCTTTCCTTCTACTTAGAAATTCAAGAGCCATTGTTACGGGACTCCAATGTATTGAAAACGTTCTCAACTGTTTCTAAGAGCCTTCTCTGCCTATCAGTTAATGACTCTAGGGTGAGCAAGAAGCATTTCTCCATATTCAGGGGGGGAAACGTGTCATAGATCAAAAAAGAATCTACTTATTAGTGCTTAGATACCAAAAGACCTTTGTTTCTGAACCAAGAATTTTAAGGAAAACCATATGGCTTCTAAAATTATTTTTCAGTTAATAGTCTTCAAACCTCACCATCAAAAGGTAATTTCGAGCCTAGATCAAGGGCTGAAATTCTTAAATTCCTCAAAATCCTCAGATATCTGCTGTATTTCTGCACGACCCTTTCATCTTTTTGGATCACTCAAGGTGTGAATAAATGAAAATGCTTTCTATATGTCAAGGCCAACTGGACAGAGGCAGCAGACCTCATGACTGGCTTGTGCACAGAGTTTGACCACGCTGCCCAAACAGTGCTGGACAAGTCCATGGTCTAAACCTGAGAACAAGTCCATGGTCTAAACCTGAGAAGCTCAAATGTGTGTGTGTTTGTGTGTGTGTGTGTGTGTGTGTGTGTGTGTGTGTGTGTGTGTGTGTGTGTGTGTGTGTGTGTGTGTGGTGTGGTCTGATATGTGTGTTGGGGAGTAGCAGGGAGTGGTGTGACAGCCAAAATGATCAGATTTCTGATGTTAAAACAGGGAGAAGTACGTCATAAATTTTTTTCTTTAAAATTATTAAAAGTACTCAGTTAAGGTTGCACTGAGGAGTAAGTCCCCAGAAAACAAAAGTGGAAAGTGATTGAAATTGTAGCTGAGGTCACTTCAAACACGCACTGAAATCAGCCAACTCTGCAAGTCAGATGCTGCACACTTTCAGTCACACATCTGCCCCTGATCCACATGCTTTCACAGCCGCCCATTCCATCTTTCATTCACAACCAAGCTGTCTCCAACTCCTCAGTCATCCGGCTTCTAGGCCTTGTCCACCCTTGAGAACATCACTCAGGACCTACGAACTACCAAATCACCAGAGATGTCAATGGTGTAAAAGCAAAGGAAGTGAAGAACTGTGTCAAAGTGGAGACTAACCACCAAATGGGTTGTAAGCTTTTCCTATAAAGACATTATTGGAACAACTGGCAAAATTTGAAAGGAATCTCTAGGTGAAGGGATATATGAGAATTCTCTGTATCGTTCTTGCAGTAACTTATTTGGGAATTAGAAGGGGGCCAAACTGGAACTTCACATCACTTCTGAGACACAGGAGCTACAATACGCACTATTTTAGCTAAGTTCTGGCTTAGATGGTAGAAGCCCCTCGCATACAGCATGCTGTTATCAAGGTAGGATACAGTATCCAACTGCTGCGATTCAGGGAAAGTGCTTATTTTCTACCAGAGTTTTAAAAGTAAGTGGCCTAAATCATTTCCAAGCTAAAATAAGTTACCGAACAAAAAAACTATTCAAACTATCAAGAGCCAGAGAGTGAAATAAGGAGAGAGAGGAATGCTTCATTTGAGGCAGAAACAGTAGGTCCTTGTTAGTCCAGGACTAAATGGCTTTAAAAGGAGGTCTGGGAAGATTTGAACTCTGTGATAAACTGACATGAGGTCAGGGAGTGTCCTGTGTAGCAAGGGCTTTAACACAAGCCTTTTGACACAAAGGGCTGTAAGTGTTGAATAAACTGCTATATAGTAAATAATTCTGCATAATATTTTAACATTTCATGCTTCTCAAACTCCTTGCATATACCATAACTGCTTTGAGCCAGACCCCAAAACTGCAAGGTCAGTGACTAAGTGTGTAGATTCCAAGTACTATTTTCTTCTTGACTGGATTTTTGAGTCAATGTTTTATTAAAATTCACAGTTGATCAAGTGGAACAAGAGTTGATCTCTCTATTCCAGTGTTAAATTTCCCTAAATGAAAATTTAAACAATGGGAGATCTCAACTAAGCAAAACTACTAATCAAGGGAAAAAGTCTTTATAAATTAAGGAATAAACAAGGAATAATCAGACCGCAAAGCACTCATACAGGTAAAAGAGGCCATGTACACCTTAATATTTTTCATTTTTCCATTTGGATCAAGTAAATACCTTAATATTTTTCATTTTTCCATTTGGATCAAGTAAATGAAGACAGGACCTTACCACCCAGTCCCAGAGGTCCTTAGAAGATTTAACACTCAAAGGCTAATCCACATTCCAAAGCATTCACACAGAAAAGGTGTCCTAGTTGTTAACAAAACCTATGCAACAGATAACTTAGCCATTCACCTTAGGGTCTGTGAAACTGGGATGACACAGAGGGCACATTTCTTGTTTTTATTTCAACATTTAAAATATTCACAGGTGCAGTATTATATTCAGCGACATCTCCATAGAAGATGTACCCAACAAAGCAGACAGGTATTCCACAAGCACAGAGTTACACATTTGTCAACCATGTGGATGTTTACCACTAGAGTTTGCCTAGAAAAACACCACTCTAAAAAAGAAAAAAGTGTTTTGAGTGTTTCTCTGAATTTCCATAAAAAGTGAGTTGCAAATAATTTCAGGAGACATCCTAAGTATTAGCGCTTTTAAATTTCAGAATTTTATAGTACTCTTCTAATATACCCCCATCAGGAACGCGTAATAATTAATACTCAGTTCTTTCACTTTTCCCCTCAATAGCCAAGCCAGGATGTACACTTTTTCCTTTCTTCCTAAACACATCATGTAGAATAGGCTGATCATCACAGCATTTTGACTGGCTAATGAGGTAGGAGCATTCTTCTTTCAAAAGAAGTTCTTAGGCATTTATAAAGTAAAACAAGAAAATTATTAGGAGTTTTTTTCTAGTGGTTGTTCTTTAAATAAAATGCCAAGAGCCCTGGAAATTGGTCAGATGCTACCTGTAGTTTAAAAAGACATAGAAGAAAAACTCATTAGAGAGGCCCTGCTACTGCACACATTCAAGGGCTGGCATGAATTCAATTAATTTTGGCCCTACCAGGTAAGAAACCATTGCCTCAAAATGCCATACTTTCTTCCTGGAAGAAATCTTACCAAGAAGATAAAGTTGAAACAAAAAACATTACCCTATCTTTTCTTTCCAGCACAAGTTATTTTCTCTTCTTTTAACCTAGTTCTCATCCCTTTCTAAACACACAAGAGATTGATAATTTCTGTATATTATATATTCAGTAATGTATCAAAATGAATTTACCAAGAACCTTACCAAAAATCTGCCAGAGAAACACTCCTTAGGTGAAAGTGTTAATGACAATGTTAAACAGCTAGAAAATGCCTAGGTAACAGATTTCAGCACCATCTCTGTACTAGCAGATTGTTTCAAAATGCATGTACCTCCTAATTTCACATAAACCTAGGAAAGTTACCCATTATTCCCTTTTCATTTATACCAAAATCAGAGTTATGTGTTCTAACTACTCTTTCTGTATATATAATAAGGAATCTTTATAAATCTACCCAATTCAGTTACTATGTTCCCAAATGAGGGGGAAGTTTTCAAACAAGTATGATTTGTCTAAAATATGTATTCTGAACACTTTGGTACCTATTATGTGATATAGGCTAAAATATCAGAAAGGAGGATTTATTTCCTCAATTAATGCACATACTAAGGTTACTGCTTAAAAACATTTCTAAAAAAATCTTTAAAATGTCAAAGAAACATAGCTGCCAGAAAAAAAAACTAGTTAACTCCATGTGGCCTGGCAGATGGTTTTGAAATAAGTCCTTGACAATTCTACTATAAAATGTTTTAGACGTAATAATCAAACTTGGTATTATAGTGCAACTCTCTGATATGGCAGTAACCATTTGTGATTTGCTACCAAATGTCAGAAACAATTTTTCACGTCTTTAAATCTTTTTTTACTGTTCTATCTAGAACTATGTCCTGTCAATGTGATTAAAAATATCAGTATGTCATCATCTAGAGTGAAGAGAATTCCTTCCTCTTCACTGCCACCTTAATCTGTTACAGTTCCTTTACATTCTAAGGCACACCATGCCCTACTTATTGCTACAAAACCCCTGAAATCTGTGCCTCAGCCTATTTCTGCTTCATCATTATGGCTCAATGAAAATCAATTGAGAGTGCCTGCTACAACTTAGTAACATTAAGTCTAGAATGCCATTGTCCAGTAGATGAACTGCAAAAGAACCGAGTCTACTGAAGCAAAGGCCAAAAAATCACAAATATGTGCTCAATATGCTCTTTCCCCTAAAAACTGACACTTACTGTAACAGTTAAGCTCAGTGATATCTCTGGCTGTCCATAATCCGTACTCAATGCTATAAAATAAAATGTTAGGCCAGTAAGCTTTCATAATTTTTATTAAATCCTAGTCTAATGTAACAATATCTGATTTTATAGACATCATCCCATGGTGAGTATGTATAATAAGTGAACGCAAACCAGACACCTAAGTTATTATTTTCTGCAGACTAAGCAATAAGATAACAACTACACAGAATACTACAGGTAATGACATACATTTACTTGCTCGGAGTTTTCAAACAAGCCATGTTGTTTATCAAACTATATCTCCTAATACTTAATACAGTAGAATTAGTGATTGTAGTTCTCATATATTTTACTTACAAGTACCTTATTGAGATAACTAACATTTTGACAGTTTCAGACTTTCCAAATTAGCACAACATATTCGAGAGAAAGAGCAAAGGCAAAATGAAAATTGAACATGACAAGATAGTTCTTAGAAGGAAACAGAGGGAAGAAAAAAGGGGGGAAGTGAAATATCACTGAGATCGGGGGAAAAAAAAATCAAACAAGTCCAGACATTTGATTAGAACAGATCAACTATGAATTTCACAAATCAGAAGTTTATAAATTCAATGCAAAGCAAACCCTTTTGAATGGAAAGGCTGAGCTGAAACTAAAAGGTAGATAAACTGTTATTTTTGGCCTTAAACAGTATCAACTCTTCTGATCAAAGAAGGCCACAACAGTTAAGATTGTATTACTTGATTTTATTTTACACTAGGTGGTGGACACAAAAGCAATCCTCCTTAATAAAACTGACAATTAGCTTCACTCAGAACATTTTTAATAATGCACATTTAAAAAAAAGTATTCATCTTACAAATTGTTCTGCAATCCAAATATACAACAGCTTGGAAAACAATGTTTAGAAAACAAAAGCCAATGTAAAAAGACAGATTAAAACAACTAGAACAGTACAGGTTTTATATGGCTCTGATTTTACAGTTTTCTTACTGCATCATCAATGTCAGAAATCTGTTCCTTCAGCTGGCTCCATTGTTCAGGATTTAAAGATATACCTAAAAAAATGTTTAAAAATCAAAAGTTGAAAAATCTACTTAAGCTCTCTTGAGGATTTTCTACTTCCAACTAAAATACTGTTTTATCAAAATTGCCATTTCAAATGGCACACTAAGAATCAAATCTCTTACACTTATTAGTCATATTCATCGCAATTACCTTTGTAGGTCATCCTTCTATCCAGTTTTACTTTCAACACCACATCCTGCATAATGCCTATTATACCCAGTGAGAACAAATAATGATTTGAAGATTTAGCTCACAAATGCTTACAAACTAGCAGGCTAAGTGGCCAAGCTTAGATTTGGTTTGTGACACCCCATTTCTACAATCAGCTGTTTCCAACATTTGCTCAAAATTTCCACAGGAATTCAGCATGAATGACTTTGTGCTTTCTTCCAGAAGCACTCATTTCACTCTGGAAAAATCCCTGAGACATGGCCCGAACAGAACTTCTTAGACCATGCATACTGGTTAAGAGTGCACTCTGGAGTCATGCTGCCAAGGTTCAAATACCAGCCTCACTGTCACTAACTCCATTAAACCTCAGTTTCCTCACCTGTAAAAAGGTGCTTATAACACAAATGGCTGTTGTGAAAAATTAGCCAATGTGAATAAAATCTTAGCATATCACCTGACAAACATTTAAAAATTAGCTAATGACATGTTGTTCCTATTTAAGATGAAAAAATATGAACAGAAAGTACTTTGTACTTTAAACTTCTAGTGTTCTAATCCTTGACACATATGGAGAGAGAAAACAGAAGTGGAAGAATTAATAAATTTCTCAGAAAACTGCTATGAGGCCATGGAATTGAGAAGAGGGAGGAGAATGTATTGGGACAACACTGAGGAAGGATTAATCAATCACTTTAGTAAATGTTTTATAGTAACAAGAAATTTGCCATTGGCTACATTGGGACAACTTGCATGATCAATCCAAAAGTGACCTGAAGAAGAAGAGTGTGAAAACATATAAAGGTTTTAAGTTTAATAAAGTCAAAATTAAATGAGGCAAACATGGTGCTTTTCAAAATGGCATGCAGGTAAAATAGAAAAAAATAAGGAGGCATTTTTCATTAGCTAAGGATCAACCTAAAGCAGCTAACTAACCAAATACAAAGATTTCTATTGGTACACAAATGTTCTCTTGCTATCTCGTGAAAGAAAGTATACTTTTGTGATGATGTCATGCGTGGGACTGGATGAGGCACAAATGGAAGACAAAGTGGTTAAAGGATATCACCCTAAAGAATATTCTTTGGAGATGAATCAAAAGTCAACACTGTAAATCAAGATTTTCCATTCCTGATGTTATACTTTCCCAGTGCCCCCACTCTAGTTTGGAATTGAGGTAATCTTCTTAAAGATACATTCAAATTAACAATAAAGTGGCAGCCAACTGGAGGGATACAGAGGTATTCCTGGGGGAGGAGGAGGTATTTCAACAGCTGTACTTAGGACATCTCATAAAATAAGTTAACTGTCACGTCCAAAAAGGCTATAGAAGATGAAGAGAAGCAACCTGAGAATCTTTCAGGACCTATTCACTGCCAACATTATTTAAATTTCAAATAAAGTCCAAACAATTTCAAGCCTACATAATCCCAATATTAGGACCAAATTTAGGAAATTAAACCTTACCTTTTCTTCCTGGTTTCATTTCACCTTCTGGATCCATCCAATATTCTCTAATATCAATTAAGACTTTCCCTTTAAAGTCCCGAACACTAACATACCTCATTTTCCCAATCTACAAAAGAAAAGAAAAAACATAAAATAGCTGCCCAACAAAAATATCCATGTTTATATTCTCACTCGCTGCACACTCACTCTACTTCTAATCACAAAAATAACTGCAGTTCTCGATAGCAACACTACATCAAGGGAGCTTTCATTGTTAAAAAAGAAATCTTTCTAAGAAAACGAAGCAAAGTACATCTCACATTTCCAATCATTTTTGAGTTAAATGTGGGACATACATTAATAAAGTATTACTTGGTTTTAAAAGAGAAGGAAATACTGTCCCACAGTACAACATGCATGAACCTTGAGATCTTACGCTAAGTGAAATAAATAAGCCCTTCACAAAAAGCTTCATACTGGATGATTCCACTTCATATGAGCTACCTGGAGTAGTCAGGTCGTATAGAAAGCAGAATGGTGGTTACCAGGGGGCTATGGATAAGGAGAAAGGGGGAGTTGTTATATAATAGTTTTACAAGATGAAAAAGCTCTGGAAATCTGTTTCACAACAAATGTGAAAATATTTAACATTACTATATGCTCAAAAATGGGGAAGATGGTTAAGTTTTATGTTAAGTATTTTTTTTACAATAAACATCATGAGAAAGCAAAATCTAGTACAAACTACAACCGTAGGCATCCACAGACTCGGCCAGCTACACTGGTTTAGCAACCATTCTGAATATAAGAATCCAAAGTTCTAGTCAATAGGAGCAAAAGAGAGCTTTTTCTTTTAGACATTCATTTCAAATGACATCTTTAATACACTCCACTTACAGTCTTAAACTGAGAACTTAGAACTTTTCATAGAAAACTATTTTTCAAAAATCTTCTACTGATGCTTAACTACAGATGGCACAGGGAAGGAAAAGGTTTTACTCAACAGTGTCTACAAGCACTTTCCAACATCTTATGCTGCTGTAATGTACTGTCTAGCACTTAAGCTAAGAAATTACACTTTCTAATCAAAACCTCTACTATCTCTACCTACCTCTTACTCATTTTAAACCTACTCTTCAATCTTACTAACTTAAATAAAATACTAGGTATGATTTTGTGCCTAAGACACATCAAAAAGTTCCTTTCCTTACAAACCTGGGTCCCTTCATTATTAATCCCTTTTATAGGGATTGTGCTAACCCAAGTACACACTTATGGCTTTCATCCTGCCTATGACCTCTCAAGCTGCTTTTTCTTATCTCAGATCTTATTCATTTTGCTTTAGTTTTTCATCCTCAAATAAGTTTCTTGTCCTGTTGGTGTGACCCCTACTTTCGGGGTATGTCTCATGCTTTATGGAGAAAATACAGCCCATTAAGTATGGTTAAATGCCTTAAATCTCTGACCCACATCATCATGAATTCATAAGTTCTATACCTTTTGTATCCCAGTTCTTGCATATACAGTTGACCCTTGGAACAACTCAGGGGTGTAATCCAAGCATAAATTATAGCCAGGCCCTCCACATCTGAAGATTAAACCAACCACAAACCAAAGTATTTGGTATTGAAAACTGTCCATGTACAACTGGACCCAGGCAGTTCACATCTGCACTGTATTGTACATTCTTTCCCTTTCCATTGGTTTCATATCTACCATTTCCAAACACGTTCTGTCTTCCCTTTCTAAAGTTACCAGTGATCCTACTGTCAGTATTAACAGCTTATTTTTTACAGTCCTCTTCATATCCCTAGTGCCTGTCATATTGGGTTCGCAGCAAACTGTTTTAATGGGTGAATTAAATAAGACCAAAATAATTATCACAGTGAAACTCCCCAATAGTGATTTATAATACTGACTTAAATGAATTAATAAGTAAAGTTATCTTAGGCACCTACAGCACTGAAGTGAACATCATTTCATTCCAGTTTTGTGGTAAGCCCATGTGACAGATGAATAGATAAAATACACTAAAAACCTCCAAAATTAATACTGATTAGGTAAGTCAACTCTGCATTCAGTGTGGGCTTGAGCAGTGGAAGATACTGCAAGTGGTAGAATCTTATAGTGAAAAACTACAAGCCATAAATTAAGGAAAAAGTGATGAGACAATAGACAAAAGAAAGGAGAAAGATACAATACTGATGAGATTCGAGGACAGGCTAAATAGATGGAGCTAATACTGAAAAGGACTTGAAAAGCCAGTAAGAGAATTCTGAAGCCTTTATATAGGTCTTTGGAATAAGAACCAAAAAAAGAAAGAAAAACAAAGGAGAATAACACCACCTTTTCTGCAAATCTTCCTTATATTCCTGAGAAATCTGATGTGGAAAACGGTTACAACTTTAAAATCTCATTAGGAAAAAAAGTTAAAGATTAAGACCAAAAGCAATCTATTTTTAAAGAGACAATGTAAGTATATGAATGGCATTTTACCAGTCTTAAATTAATAATAATACTCAGTTATTTTATGTAAACAGCATGGTACAATACAGTTAACACTACACACTGTTGGCTAGCTATGTGAACTTCTACCTTGATCCCTAGCAACTTCTCACAAGCTTCCTCATCCACAATTTCAATGACGTGCATAATTGTTTTTGCTTGCCAAATGTGAACTTAAAGAGGCATTTTCTTCCTCCCAAACATGGCTGACCATCACAGATTTAAACCTTTGCGCTTTTACAATTTGAAGTCTCTAAACATTTTTCAAATAACTTGTGATTTTAATACATAAATTATTTAAAGTAGGGAAAAAGTATAGATCAATAAATTGATAATAAAATTTGGCAAAAAGCTTCAGAGAACACCAGCACCAAAGAACTGTGGGGGTGAAAAGGAAGAGAAAGCCTGATGACACTCAATGACGCTGCTCCACCAGAATCTAAAACTTACTGTGCATTTTGTATGCTCTCCCTTAATACATCCAGCGTCCACTTTAACACAAATCTCCAAATAAAGATGGACCCTACAGAAGACTGCACTGTGTTTATTCCATAACTTTTCATTCCCCCAGTCCAAAGCAGCAAATCCACAGTACACAGATTCATTCCAGAGCTTAAGTGATACACATTAGAGGGAAAAGAGAGAACGCCTTGCCCCTAACATCAGGAATACAACAAGGTGTCTGCTCTCACCACTTCTTCTCAATACTGTTCTGGAAATAATAGCAATAAAGCAAGAAAAAGAAAAGGATGATATAAAAGCAGACAAAATCATCAACAGAGAAAATTCTAACACATCGTTAAAATATATATTTTTAACATTTATAAAATATAGGATGTTGTAATTTACATATATTATGGAATATTATATATATTTTTAGCAACGAATGACTAGAAAATGATGTTAGGAAACAATACATTTGATATAGAATCAAAACACACAAAATGCTTTGGAATAAACTTGACAGAAGATATACCAGAAAAATTACAAAACAGAAATTCAAAAAGATCTAAATTAATAGAAAAAGATACCAATATGATCAAGTTGCAAATTTTTTCCAAACTGTTCTTCAGCTTTCCCAATCCCAATCAAAATCCCAGTAGACTTTTTGATAAAAACTGACAAACTGATTATAAAATGTGTATGTAAATACAAAATACATAGAATAGCAAAAATAATTCTGAAGGTGAAAAACAAGAACAATGTTAAAGGACTTACACTACCTGACTGCAAAACTCACCATAAAAGTACAGTAATTAAGAGAGTGTGGTACTGAAATAAAGACAGATATACAGATCAATGGCATACAACAGAGTTTAGAAATAGATATTTTATATATTTACCGATTTTCTTTATAAATATCCAAGGTGAGTCAACAGGAAAAGAACAGTCTTTTCAACAAACGGTACTAGAACAACTAGATTATCTGCACAGGGGTGAAAAATGAGTCTCAACAACTACCTCACACTACATACAGAGAAAACTAATTCTACTAGTTAGTTTTCTAATTAGTAGACCCATTCTATTAGTGACCTACTTCTAATTAGTGACCTAGTCTCAAAAAATGAGTATTTAGTCTTTTTTTTTAAAATCTTGTCTTATGGCTACTCCAAACAATTTTAATGTGGATTTTAGATTTGTCTTTGGTAAAGTGTACCTGATAACCCAGATCCTTAAAGATTCTAGCAATCTCTAAGAAAGTTTCACTCTGGAAGTGGAAGATATCTTTTAGGCATTTTCTTGGTAAATGAAAAACATAGAAAACATACAGTACTATTTTTAAAATTAAATAAAACTTATTACAAATTTACAAAATACAATGAAAGCAGCTGATTTTCCTTTTAAAAACCCCATCCTGCACCGTTCTAATAAATTATCAAACCATTATTACTAATAAAGTCCTCATTTTATATAACCAATGTACTCACTCTAACGTGCTTTGGATTCAAATTAAAAGTCAGTATTACCACCAAAATATTTTTCTACAGCCAAAACACCATTTCAAGGAAAAAGCTCTAATGGCAATGAAATTAAATGCTGTATTAGCTCTTCCATCAGTTCATCCTAAAGGAAATCAACCCTGAATATTCACTGGAAGGACTGATGCTGAAGCTCCAAATACTGTGCCACCTGATGCAAAGAGTTGACTCATTGGAAAAGACCCTGATGGTGGGAAAGATTGAGGGCAGGAGGAGAACGGGACTACAGAGGATGAGATGGTTAGATGGCATCATCAACTCAATGGACATGAGTCTGAACAAGCTCCAGGAGATGACAGGACAGGGAAACCTGGTGTGCTGCATTCCATGGGGTCGCAAAGAATCGGACTCGACCTAGCAACTGAACAGTAACAATTCTCTTAGATTGCCTACACAGACTACTTTCACAGACTACATCTTGAAAAGTCACTCTGAAAATAAGGCCTACGTTCCTCCCAGAGGCACTTTCAAAAGAATGAGAAGTCTATAAATAGACTTTCAGGCTTGGGATCCTTTCAAATGAAGGTTTAAGAACTGAACTCACTTTTCTTTGGTGAGATAATAACCTCCCCATAATAAAAGAACTAGTTTCCCCAGCCTGCTCTAATAGAGTAAAATCTCTAAATGTGGGTCCTGGTTTATCTGTACAAACAGGGTAAGGTAGAAAAGATAAAATCCACTAAGAGGCTACAGAGGCTCTATTATTATCCAAGTACAAGTAGGCATATAGCAAACAGAACTGATCAGAGAAAAGCCCAAGACAGTTGCCAAGTAAATATTTGAAAGAAGTCTGTATCTTTAGTATAAACATTAAGTTGAAATATTCCAAAGTAGTCCTTCATTCTACACAGGAGGAAAGGCTATGAAAGGGAGGGATACTCTCTTGCAGATTTTACATTTCATTCTGTCCCTTAAAATAGCCTTCCAGTGCACTTAGAAAGTTCAGCTCCTAAAAATGGCCTCCCAGTAGGAAAGTCCTGCAAGAGCTGACCCTTCAACTTCCTTACCAACTTGACCTACCTACACTCTCAGCCAACCTTCCTGCACAATCCAAGCTCCGTCCCACTTCAAGGCATCTGCACAATGCCCTCTACTTCGAAATGCTTTCCTCTCCCCCACACTTGGTACAGCTGGTTGCTCCTTTATGTCATAAACTTCAAATGTCACTTCCTTCAGGAAAGATTCTCAGAGCATTTCTCACTCATAATCATCTGCACTTTAACTTCTCAGCCCTTATCATAGTTTTAATCATATTATCTACTCAAATAAAGGAGGGCCCTTTCATAATTCTTCCTTACAAACAGCGATTTATGTTCTCTATCAAATTAAGTCTACTCCTAGTACCTCTAAAATATACAAAAGTCAGAAGACTAAAACCCATAAGTAAAGCATCTGCACTTTGTCATTTTTTTACATAATTTTTAATTTTAAAATGTATGTATTTAAAATGAACAACTTGATTCAATATTCACACACTCAGAGTGAAAAAACTACTAGTATAATCATGCTAACACATTACCATTTTTTGCATGACTGGTACATCTGAAAATCCACTTAGTACAGTTCAAATGTTCAATACAGTGTTAAGTACAGTTATCATGTGTCTTATTTCTTAATCCAGACATATAACAAGGCAAAATTGAATAAAAATATCCAATTTCTAGTTTCCCATTCTCACCTTAATCCTGGTACTCTGTCTTTCAAGGACATCACTAACTTTTCAAAAGAGTGCACACACACACAAGCCTCACTTTTTTTTTTTTTTTAACAGCAATAAAATGATTTATCCTGGTATATTCTAAGACAGAGGAACAGATGGTAAATAACATATACTGGGGCTACTTGGGTAAAGTTTTACTTCTATATTTTTTTTTAATTTTTTTTCCCATTTATTTTTATTAGTTGGAGGCTAATTACTTTACAATATTGTAGTGGGTTTTGCCATACATTGACATGAATCAGCCATGGATTTACATGTATTCCCCATGCCTCACTTTCTAATAAAAAAATGTTTGCAGTCTCATCTTGTCCAACCTTCTGGCTTCAACTAATACTAATGTCTCCTTATCTTTTTTATGTTCCCACAAGCACTTACTTTTTTCTTGCTCCCATTAGCACACTCTTCTTACTTTCCTTCACCTTCTCTTACCTATATCCTCTTTTTCCTTCCACCCTAAGTTATCACAAGACATGTACTCAATCACCTCTCTTCCCCCTCTGGTTTATGCTTACTTCAGCAGAAGGCTTCAGTCAATCATACCATATGTTTCCACATGAACATTTCCCAACTAAACCCTCCAGGTACTAAAGCAAAGACACTTTACCACACTTTATTACCACACTTATTATCAGGTCTCAAATGCCAAACTTAACCACCTTTGCCGTTGATCAGTGAAACCATCTCTATTGTCTCAAATTTGAAACCAGTCTTCACTGATTGCTTCATTCCTCCAGTCCACTCTTCCTCACTAGCTCTCTTAAATCACTATTCCATCTTCTGGGAAAACCATCTAAGCCCTTATCACCTCACATCAATTTATCCCCACTGCCTCTCCCATAAATCCTTCTTGTACCATGATGCCAATAACAAGTCTCCCTAAAACAAGATAAGAAACCCAAGGGAAAAAGTTGTATCAGTAATTTCATCAAAGCCCTCTAAGGCACTTCCCTCACTACTCAACCTTATTTCTACCCCCCCATCCCACCCCACCCAATATATAAACAGAAGGCTCTTTTTTTTTTTACCTTTTCTGTTATCAAGCCAAAATTAAGGTCATATTGCAGTCTCCCCTCTAGTAATATCCTACCCACACTTCACAGCCCAATGCTAGACCTACCTCCTCCAATCTGCTCCATAAATGTGCAGTTCTCAATCTTTCTTTTTTTGATTCCGCTAAACTCCCTTTGTTTTAAATACAGCAAAATCACAGAACTCTAGATCTTAACAAAATCTAGCATCATATAAATTGCCTTCATTTCTACCAACTTCTTATATTTCAAGGACTATCCTTAGTCAAGAGGATAATATACAGAAAAGATTAGTAAGCATTAACAGATGAGGTACTTTTCATATTCTTCAGATCAAGCCGGGTAACACTTCTAGATTAAGGAAATACCAGTTTTACCTGAAACATGTTATCATCTCTGCTGCTGCTGCTCTGCTTGGAGGATGACAGTGCTCTGGAGGTCTCACCAGTTTTTTGCTTCTTTACAGGTTTTTCTGGAGCAACTTGCTTTTTCCTCTTTAGCTTGAAAGAAAAACAATATAGTTAAAATTTGCATAAGAACAAAACACATCTCAGGTTCAAAAGATCGTATTACTTTTTAAGACTTAGAGGACCAAAAGATTACATTTATTAATAAAAAATCATAAATATATACACAGGCAAGTTTTAAGTTTTCCCTGACAACAGAACTATGAAACTAATATACCACTGTTATCTAGTATGTTTTCAAACTTTTGGGTTTCTTGGGAAACCAAGATACTTCAGGCATTAGAGTGGTATTCACCAGACCAACAGTTGTATTATATATCGGGATCCCACATAAAATTTCTCTATGAGAAAAAAAGACTGAGGGGGGATACTGTTGCTTTTAAATACACTTAAAACTTTTGGAAACCACAAGTCTACTAGTCAGTTATTTTTTACAAAGAAAAGCATACAATTAGAAAGACAAAGCCAATTTATGATTATTTATGCCTGCTTATTCCAAAAGGGACTTGGGACTTCCCTGGTGGTTTAGTGGTTAAGACTCTGTGGTCCCAGTGCAGGGGGCTGGGGTTCAATCCCTGATCAGAGAACTAGATCCCACATGCCACAACTAAAAGAAAAAAGAAAAAAAATCCTGCACGTCACAGGAAGACAGAAAATCCCAAGTGCCACAACTAAGACCCAGCGCAGCCAAATATATAAAATACTTTTTAAAAAGAAAAAAAAAAAGGATGAGAAAACCAAAAGGGACTTAAATTGGTTCAGGGAATTTATGAGTAGGGAAAGCTAAGAAAGCTATTTTGTACTGGAGACCAGAGGTCAACAACTCATCACAAAACTTCCTCATCACAAAAAAATCACTTTAGACAGCAATGTGTTAGACTAGTATTCAAAATCAAAACAATGTTTTAAAAGCAGCATTACTCTAAAAGCTTTTTATATAGACTCATTCTCAAAAAGAGCCAAGTCCATGAAATTCGGTAGAGTTCCCAATCCAAGCAGTAGAGGGCAGTCATGTTCCTTGAAGTGAAGTGAAGTCAAAGTGGCTCAGTCGTGCCAACTCTTTGGGACCTCCACCGACTATACAGTTCGTGGAATTCTCCAGGCCAGAATACTGGATTGGGTAGCTGTTCCCTTCTCCAGGGAATCTTCCCAGCCCAGGGATCCAACCCAGGTCTCCCACATTGCAGGAGGATTGCCACCCCCTGGTTCCCTAAGCCCAACAACACTGGAGTGGGTAGCCTATCCCTTGGCCGGTGGATGGATCTTCCCAACTCAAGTGGATATTCCCGACGCAGGGAATGCAGGGGTCTCCTGCATTGCAGGCACATTCTTTACCAACTGAGCTATCAGGGAAGCTCCTTAGTTCCTTAGTGGAAGGTATAAATTATTACTGTTTTACCAAATTATATAATACTAGGCAAAATAAAATGTATATATTTATGTATACAAACTTAAGAGTGGATTCATCTAATGGAAGTACTTACAGAATTAATAGTACTATTTGGGATAAATAGCAAAATCAGCTCACTAAGCAATTACTTTTTTATCAGTTCTGTATAGTCCCTGTAGACTGTGCATTCCCTGCACGTAAAAGCTCAATAAAGAATCTGTTAAATGAATGTATTCAAATGATATACTGTGTGCAAATTAAAAACTAAAAGACATTTCCTTCTCAAATATAGCTATGCATGCTCTTTGAAGCTTTTTTCAATCTTCCAAGCGAAATTATGATATGTATTTCAAGATTCTCATAGAAGCTCTCTTTTAACTAACACTATCAACTGAGCTCAGAGACACAGCTGTGTAGGCTACAGGAGATAAAGGACAGTTCTGTGCGGGAGAAGCCCTCACCAGAGTGAGATGCTCAGGTAAGCAGAATGCACAGTTAAGCTTACAGCACAATTATTATCTAATGCAGAAAAAGCCTTTTCTATCAAAATGGGTAATTTCATGCTAGCTTTGCTGAGTGCTGATTTAACTAAAAGGAGAGGATCAGAGTAAATAATAAATAACATTCTAATTTAAAATGTACCAAGCCCAACTTTATGTAACCTTCAGAGGCTGGATAAACAACAAGGCTAAGGAGACTGTCAAACCGATCCTGTTTTCATAAAGTTCATATAATATGGCTCAACTAGTATGCAGAATGGGCTTCCCAGGTAGCTCAGCAGAAGAAATCTGCCAGCTAATGCAGGAGACTCGAGTTTGATTCCAGGGTAGAGAAGATCCCCTGGAAGAGGAAATGGCAACCCACTCCAGTATTTTTGCTTAGAAATCCCACAGAGAGAGGAACTGGTGGGCGACAGTCCATGGGGTTGCAAAGAGTCAGACATGACCTAAGAGTGCACAAGCACCATAAAGAATACCTACAGTTTAAGAAGTCTACTGAACAACAGCTAATAGTGGCTTTGGCCTAAACTTGGTGCTATTCCCCTGGGGTCTAAGGTAGAGATTGTAAGGCTCCTAAAAAGCTTCAACAGGAAACTTGCTTAAGTCAGAAAACTTGCTCAAGTCTGACTTCAGGGCATGGCCTACATGTCTACCACAAGCATCTAGGCATTTCAGTCAAGTGGGTCAAGGGCCATCTGCACTTTCAGAAATGTCCATCCAGGCTCTCTTTTTAAGGTTCTGATATGCTTTGCTGTCCTTCAGAACCAATAGTGCTGAATTAAGTATCACAAAAATGACCTAGTGTAGTAATAGTCACCTTTTTGTCAACTTCACTGTCAGAATCGCTACCAGAAGAGCTTGAAGAAACAAGTTCCTTTGACTTAGGCATTCTGAAAGAAAAATACATTATGTAAATAATTCATCAACTTTTTCATTACCTTCAACTTAACTCTCCCCCAAAGACTCAAGAAGTTCCACAGTTCATTCTACCACTGTGCGGCACTGGAGCTGTGACACTGAGCACAATGCTATAGAAGTTACGCTCTTAATCTAAAGCTCTTCCATGTTGAAAATAACATGCAGAGGGAAGAGTTCTAAACCCAGCAAAGAACTAAATGTCATACACATCTCATACTCCTACATCTCGCTCTTTCTCAAAGTCAATGGGTCTTTTTATACTTCATTTTAGCAGGGTCAGATGCTTATGGATAGGAGTTAGATGTTTACAGATAGAGTAAATTGCAAAGAGACAGCTGACAGCAATCACTGTCAAACCAGGAAGAAATATGAACAATTCTCAGTATTGCTTTGTATTTCCCACCAATGAGACTTACGTACAATTATTCATTGCAGGAATTAATCCCAATGTACACACAGCATGGTGGACAACTGTACTATACAGCTGTCTGTATCTAATTAGTTTTGCCATTATAATCATACTTTTCATGTTCTGTATAGGTTCTTAATTTTTTCATTTTGACCATTCCAATCAAAAGAGCAAGTACTGATTCAAAGTTATACATAATTAATGTTCATTTACATTTCACACTGATTTTCTACTCTGAAATATATAACTAAAATTTGAAGAAGCTGCTTATGGGAGGGGTAAATCCTTTCCTCCAATTCCTACTATGACCCTAGTTCCCTAGATTTTGGAGATCCCCCAGAGGTACATAGGCTAGTGTCTTTCCTGTGGAGTTTACAGAGTGCCTGAACCTAAAGCAGAGTCTTGTGCCTCTGTTTCCCAAATTTCAAGGAATCTCATGCTCTACTTTTCAAAGCACTTATAATACCAAGTGGTAAAACTCCATATATCTTCATAGCAAGTATCTTTTGCTCCCTACATCTCCAATTCAAAAGAGACTGAGCCCTATTAATTTCTATATGCCCCCAAGAGCCTAATATACACAACGTACACTGTAAATGTTTGCTTTGGGCTAAACTTGCATAGCAATGGCATTCAATGTGTCCCACAAGAGGAGGTCAAGGTAAAAGAAATGGGCCATCCCTACTCTAGCCACTAAATTCAAAAAGCTCAAACCATGCTCCACCCAGCCATGTTGATTTTAACTGGCAATTTCTTGGTAACAAGAAGAGTAAATTCAGAGGGGAGCCAGCAACGTTTACAACCACATTTTATACATTAATCCAGTTACTGCTCCACTTTACAGCCTAATCTCCAAAATCAATGTAGTTGTTTCTGTATGCTAGCTGCTAATAATTCCAAGAAGCTTTTTTTTTTAAAGGTAATTAAATTGAACATAACCTATTTTTCACTTTGAAACGGTCAAGCATAACTACACCATCTGCTCATTAAAGGTGCCCGAGGGGGCTAAGATCATTTCAAAGCACCACCTCGTGTTTAACCCAAATAAGTCCCTCCGACACGAAAACTAGGTAATGGTAACTAAACCACTCTTTGAACTACTATCAAAATGTATTTTCACTTTTACTTAATAAGCCTTTACATTTCTGGAGCGGGGAGTGGGGACGGCGTGGCTTGTAATTCAAGCAAAGTAATACTGAACGTGCTGGTGCGGAATATACAAAAAAAAAGCGTAAAAAAAAAGGAAATCTTCGATCTTTGATAAAGGCATGGGGTAAGGAGGACTAAAAACTAAAAGGTGAAGATAAGCTAGAACTAAAAGGCACGAGAATTCGGTACAACACGAGGGTGCTAAGCACCCAAACGGGGGAAGCGGGTCCCGGGATGCCAGCAAGCCGCCCGAACCCCGGGACTGGCGACGGCTGGGGCGGTGGGAGACAGGTTGGTCAGAGGGGGCGTAGGAGGCGGCGAAATGCAGAGGAGACGGAGTGGGAAGAGGAGGGACTTGCACCAAGCGCCATTTTCTTCCCTCGAAGAGCTCACTCCCCCCCAACACACAAGCCGTTCACTCCTCCACCCCCGGACTCCCCCGCCGCACCCCCGGCCTCCTCCAACCCGGCCCGCTCCCTCCCGCCCCTAGAGCGTCCCCACTCCGGGGAGCAGAGATGAGGACTCCAGAGACGCAGGCCCCGCACGCGCACCCGCCCGGGACCGGGCCACTGCTGCATTGTCCCGGGGGCGCCCCAGGCCCCTTCCCGCGGCTCCTCGGCCCCGCCCGGCCGCACCCGCCGCCCGAGATCGCCTAACCCGCTACCCCGGGGCCGTTCCCGGGGGCCAGCTTCAAGCGCCAAGGGGCCTGAAGCGCGTGGGGCTCGTAGTCGGGGACGGAGGAGGGGGTCCAGGGAGGCCGAGGAAGGGAAGGGGGAGATCAGGCAGCGCCGCCATTTCCCGCGGCCGTGGCCGACAAGGAACCTGGGCCTCAGGTGGATAGCGGCCGAGCTGGGAAGGTAGGGGTCGGCCAAGCTGTGCTTCGACGGGTAGGGGTGGGGGCGGGGTCCCATGCACTCACGCTCCGCTCCAGAAGCCGAACTGCCTCCAGCTCGCTCAGTAGCGACTGACAGAGAAACGGAAGTGACGACAGCAGAGAGGCGCCGGCCCCGCCCCACTGAGACTACGCACACGCGATGGGGCGTGGCTTCCTCGCCAAAAACCGACACCGAAACCCTTTCCAGGGCCTTAAAGGGCCCGCCCCTCATCCTGAACTGATACAGGGAAAGATGCAGCGAAGATTGGATTCGACTTGTGAGTGAAAGAGGGAACGAATTAAACATGAATGACGAGCACCGATGGTTTTTCCAGTAGTCATGTATGGATGTGAGAGTTGGACTATAAAGAAAGCTGAGCGCCAAAGAATTGATGCTTTTGAACTGTGGTGTTGGAGAAGACTCTTGAGCGTCCCTTGGACTGCAAGGAGATCCAACCAGTCCATCCTAAAGGAAATCAGTCCTGGGTGTTCATTGGAAGGACTGATGCTGAAACTGAAACTCCAATACTTTGGCCACCTGATGCGAAGAATTGACTCTTTTGAAAAAACCCTGATGCTGGGAAAGATTAAAGGCGGGAGAAGAAGGGGACGACAGAGGATGAGATGGTTGGATGGCATCACCCACTCAATGGACATGAGTTTGAGTACACTCAGGAGTTGGTGATGGACAGGGAAGCCTGGCGTGCTGCAGTCCATGGGGTCGCAAAGAGTCCGACATGACTGAGGGACTAAACTGACAAGCACCGAGCTTTGCACTTGTTCCGTAAGTGTTTCTTGTGTTAAAGTGAAATGTCTGAAAAAGAACAACACTTCTGACCCATTTTCCAAGAAATGATCCTTGCCCGCTACCCCATACTCTGGTATTTGATCCTGGCTTGTAGAATTCAAAGGAAGGAAGCCACAGTCATAACGTTTAGTTCCAGAAAGTGCAAAAAAGTCTTCGCAGAAGTCCTTACCACACACCCACACACTTATTCCTAAACTGAAGTTCTGGGAACTGCCTGGACGTCCAGTGGTTAGGACTTGGCACTTTCACTGCCAGATGCCTGAAGTTCAATCCCTGGTCAGGGAGCAAAGATCCTGCAAGTTGTGGGGCCAAAAAGAAAAAAAAAGTACCTAAACTGAAGTTCTGGAAATGTGAGTTCACAGAAGGCAAGAGATATCCATGCTATAAGCAGGAATATGGCTCATGGAGTCTTTGAATCTATATTTAATGAATGCCTACTATAGCCAAGGATGCATATTCAACACACATTTATCAAGCATCCACTATGTTCCAGGCACTGCAGTGAGGCACTTCACATATAACACTCGTCCTAATAAGCACTTTCCAATGTAGAAATGATTGTTCTCTCCATTTTATAATAAAGAAACCAAAGGTCTACAAGGCTAAATAAGTTCTGCTGTAGGTGATACAGAGAGTGAGTCATGATTCAAACCCTGGATGCTGCAGATTGAGGGAGACCTCAAACACTCTAGCCCACTTCTATGCATGCAGCATCAGGCTACATGACTACTTCTCAAAAATGAAATACTTGCTGTATAGTTCCTTTTATGCAAGGCACAAAAAAAGCAAAAATAATCCATAGTGATCTAGGTCAGGTTAGCCTTGGGGGACTATCACTTGGAGTGAGTAAGAAAGAATCTGCTGGGATGCTGAATATATCTTGGTCTGGGTGGTAGTTAGATAGGCATTGTTCAGTCGCTAAGCCATGTCCGTCTCTGTCACCCCATGGACTACAGCACTCTGGGCTTTGTTGTCTTTCACTGTCTCCTGGAGTTTGTTCAGACTCATGTCCATTGAGTCGCTGATGCTATCCGTTTCATCCTCTGCTGCCCTCTTCTCCTCTTACCTTCAATCTTTCAGAGCATCAGGATCTTTTCCAATGAGTCAGCTCTTTGCATCAGGTGGCTAAAGTATTGGAGCTTCAACTTCAGCATCAGTGCTTCCAGTGAACTTTCAGGGTTGACTTCCTTTAGGATTGACTGGTTTGATCTACTTGCTGTCCAAAGGAATCTCAAGTCTTCTCCAGCACCACAGTTCAAAAGCATCAATTCTTCAGCTCTCAGCCTTCTTTATGGTCCGACTCTCACATCTGTATATGATTACTAGAAAAACCATAGCTTTGATTACACAGACCTTTGTTGGCAAAGTGATGTATCTGCTGTTTAATATGCTGTCTAGGTTTATCATAGCTTTTCTTCCTAGGAATAAGCATCTTTTAATTTCATGGCTGCAGTCACCATCCACAGTGATTTGGGAGCCTGAGAAAATAATGCCTGCCTCTGTTTCCACTTTTTTCCCATTTATTTGCCATGAAGTGATGGGACCAGATGCCATGCTGTTTGTTTTTTTGAATGTTGATTTTTTTTTTTTTTAGAAATTCATTGAACACATTTTTATTGAGCACCTACTATGTACACCAGACACTGACCCAGATGCCGGTGGTACAAACACAGCAGAAGAGAAAACAGACAAAAACCTCAGCCCTTACAGAGCTCCTGAAGCTTACATTCC